AAAAAAAAAAAAAAAAACCATCTAGTAACAAGGAAACATAATTTATTTGAATTTTTTATTTTGTATTATGCTCCAATGCATAGTAAGTAATAATTTTATATCTTCATACTCTATTAATATTTATTGGGATTAGCATTGAATGGCATATTCCATAACTTTCATCTTCTTTTTCTTCCTTGTTGTTTCTCTTGGAGTTTTCTTCCCAATTTCATAAAGAAAAGGAAATTGAATACTTAGAAAAATAAGAAAAAACAAAAAAAGGCAAATCATATTGCACAATTACAAATTAAATTAATAAAATATTGCATAACTTTTTGATTAATTGATTGTCATCATCTACTTTCGAAGGCTGTCGCGTATATGTCTAGGCACGTTGAACAGCTAAGTGGGATCCTAGCTCAAAAACTTTGATTTAAATCAAAGTGAATCCTTACGAACGATTTCTCCTCGAATGTCTAGGCACAGAAGTAAGATTTCGTGCAGTCACGTGTTAACTCTAGACGAGAACACTAAGTAGGAGAGCAGTACTTCGACGAATTATACTCACTATCTCAAACACAAGCTAACCTAATCATCCAAAAAGAACATAAATCACTTTAAATCGACGCCAAATGAGAATATTTCGACAAGCAAACAATCCGGCCGTCGAAAGTAGATACTATCGTTCTCCTGTCGAGTCCATGCACCCAAGTCCAACCAGGAAAAAGAAGCATACACATACAAAATTTAGATGAAATACAGAGGAATAAAGAGCAGACAGAACCAGCCATATAAATTTTACTTGCATTTAGTAAGAACATGTTTTTCTGTACTAAGCTCGAGTATAGAGTAACATAGAAAATTTCACCAACTATTGAAAATCTGTTGGTTACTTGAGCAAGAAATTCATCATGCAGTTGGGGTATTTATTGTTGCAGTAATAAATATGAGTAGGAAGCTAGCTAGGGTTGCAGAGAGTACATTTTTGTTTGCCTTGGAATTGAAGAAATAATGGCAGTATTTTAATCATCTTTCGTGATCTTGCATAATGCCAAAAAGTCGAACAAGCAAAAAAACCGAGGGCTCGATTAATTGGTATATCGTACCAAACAGTCGCAATGTGTTGTTGCAGATCATTTTGGTATAAAATGTGCATTGTGTAATAAGAGCGTGTTTGGGAGCAATTTTTGTGGGATTTTAATCAAAATTATAGCCATTATAATCAACCTGTGGGCTCCACCTATAAGAGGGAAAGTTAAAAATGGTGGCTGATTTGATGGTTAACGGCTAGAATTTTGATTAAAATTTCTCCCAAACAGAACCTATATATCATATTGCTTATATGTCTATAGGTAAGTTATATATTATGATATTGTAAAATAGAAAATCGTAATATTGCATTTGTCGACCATCGACTATTGGTAATTCCATTACCCTTACGCTAATCGGCCATCAACATCGACTGCTAAACCTAGACAACAAATAATGACTAACACTTATCATCACGGTGGGTAGAGGTCATCGAACCATTGATCCCTCTAGTCCCCATTAATTGTCATCGACAATTACAACTAGCCACGATTAGTGGACATTGGTGACGAACACTGATTATTAGAGGTGGCAACCATCAATTGCTGGTTAAAATGAGATTATCAAACTTCGCTTTTAAAAAACTTATTTAGCTATTTATGATAGGCAGGAATCAACTACACGTCGATGCAAATTTATCAGTGATAAATCATAGTTATTTCAAGTGGAATCAAGATCTCATCCAAGCAATATATATATTGTTAATTAATTTATTTTTATTCAAATTTTTGAGTTCAATATTTTTACAATTTAATAACACGTTTCGTACGTTGAACATAGTTTAAATTAGGGATAAGTTGGAGATTACCCGGCACACCCACTTCACCCGCAACCCACATACTGCGAATGAAGTAGACTTGGGTTAGGTAAAGTGTTAGGTACAGCATGCCTATTGAGGAAATGCCTAGAAATGGAGCCCAAAAGTCTTCTAGTTTCTCAAAAGAGAACCAATGAGATGAGAAAAGTATATTTGCCTTGTGGGGGTCAGACGCACACATGAAATCAATTTTAGAAAAAGAGAACGTTTTCATATTTTATTTTTCATAATATGATATATATCAACCCACAAAGAAAAATTACTGAAATTGAATATTTGTAGAGCTAATAGGCAAAAATAAGGAAAAAAAGGGGTGGGGGTGGGGGGAGGGGCACATTTTGTTGTAACACATTCTTCTAAAACCCCTATTCAAGAAATCCTTCAACAAAATCTTGAAATAGAAATAGAACTTGTATAGGCTTGTTGTTTAAATTCTATGGCAAAATCTCCAATATGGGCTACTCTCTCTTCTTAAGAGAATATAATTGATATTATTTATGAATCGACTTCTCAATCCTATTACTATAGTAAAACTTTTATCCTGGTACAAATTAAAATCTAGATTTGAAGATTTTTATTTAAGTCAAAGTCAACAATTGATTTTAACCACATATTTTATAAAATTCACAAGTTTTCAATCACTCATTTCATCAATTTTTATCAAAATACACTAAAGATTTGATTTTAATTTTCGTCAAACAGTACTCAATTCCTTCTTTAAAAAGAGGTAAGACCTTATTTGATAGCATTTCTTTTCCATGGAACTAGGAATTGGTTTTCCATTTTCCACCTTTTTGCTTATTTGATAGGTAAAATTTTCTTGGCAAATTGTTTTGCACCCAACCCCCATTTTGGTAATTTTTCTTGGTTTTTGAGGAAAAAATGTTTCTCACCACTTTGGTGGGAAACACTTTTTCTAGGCAACTTTTCCCTTTAAATTTTTTTTTTTTTTTTACAATGGAAATAAATTTTATTCCCAATTGTAATAAATTTATCACTTTAATGGACAATTTCATGGAAAATAAAGTCAAACGAATATCAAAATATCCAAAATTTTAATATTTTTCAGGTGAAAAATTAGATTAATTAAATACAATTAATTGATAATTCTTAGTAAAACAAGTTCTAAACAATTTAATTTCCTAAAATTTATTTTATTTTCACTCAAATTCCATTATTGCAGTGCAGTGGTTCTAATTTAAAAAGAAAGTGAACTAATATGAAAGGTGTCAAGGTTGATGAGGAGGACAGCATTAGTTCTCCCGCTCCCATTTGCATGTCTCTCTCTCTCTCTCTCCAAGACATTAAAATTCGAAACACCTCAAAGGTCAAATTCTGTGAAAACTGAAAAAAAATTAGTTACTTTTGTATACATCAATAAAACCAAAAAGTTCTATTATAAAACCACACCTTCTCTTCCATTCCTCTCTGCCTTTCCTTTTGTTTTGGCTAATATCGATGCAACTTTGCAAAATAGAAGGAAAAAAAGAAATCTCTGTTTTCCTGTTTCTCTATCTACATATCATTGGTGGAGTATTGTACAATATAGTGAGTGTATATATGCATATTTCATCATTTCTATGTGTAATCTGGAGGACTTTCAATAATCAAGACCTATTGGTTCTTGGATTTTAAAGGAAGGATTTTGGTATCAAAGGTACAACTTTTATTTGTTCCATTTCAAGAAACCCTCTATTTTTTGGGAAGTTTGAATTGTGTGGTGTTTTGAGATCTATTTATGTTCAAACTTACAATTTTGTGATTTTTATGCTTGATTGTTAGGTCTGCTTTTTTATCTAATAATAATATAATAAAAAAATCAGAAAAAAGAAAATTGACAGTTTTAGGTGTTTGGTTGAGTGGAAGTGGTTGGTCTCTGTTAAGAAAAATGGCTTATTTTATTGATTAATATAATATCATTGATGTGTGTATATATAGAATTTAATCTGTGCAAGAAAGCTTTTGAATCCACAAAAGGCATTGCTGAAACAGGTGATTGATTATTCTTTTAAATGTTCATAAAAATGAAACAGTTACATAAATCTCCAAATCTGCTGAGTGGTTCCCAGCTTATTTGATTATTTTATCGCATAGAAGTCTATTTTCATTCTTTCGCTTGAGGTACACATATTTATTCAGTCTCCCATTCTTATTAAAATTTCTTTCTTTTGGGATTAACATATTTTTTTGTGGGGGGTACATTTTATTGTTATTTAGTTCATTTACTTGTGATAAAAATAGAAGCTCTAGGTTTTCTCATGTTTCTGTATGTATGGAATTATCTGTTTGCTTACCTTTCACTCTGAAGAATATTTATGGTGTGTAGAATTACGTTGTTGTATAACGTTTGTATATATGTGACTTAAACCACTTGACAGGGTGCATATGATCTCATTTACTGAAATCTATATCAGTATTATAAGATCTATTGGTGATTCTTCTATATTTTGTTGAAAGTATCGTGTCCACAGCATCTTTTGTTTAGTGACCATTTTGTTTTGATATTTTCATAATTTATTTGAAGCCAAGATATTCCTTTTATGAGCTTTTTTGCTCAAGGATAGAAAAGTTTTTTTAGTTAAGCTGTAATATTATTTTATGCATTGTTGCAGGATTTACGCAAAAAAAATTGGTCATGGAAGGAAACACTTTATGGGTGAGTCATTGCGTTGAAAATGTTGCAAGTGACACAGCAGAGTTGGATTCATTTTCAGAGCTTAACGATGAGAGCAAGAAAGAAGTTGCTTCAATTTCTGTGGATTTGGTTTTACCTGATGATCTGTTGGAGCGGATATTAGCCTATCTCCCGATCGCTAGCATTCTCAGGGCAGGCTGTGTGTGTAAGAGATGGCATGAGATAGTGACTTCGGAAAGTTTCTTGTGGAATTTCAACAGCATCCTGTCACAAAAGCCTTGGTACTTCATGTTCACAAGCTCAGATGAACCAGTCGGTTATGCATACGATCCCATCCTCCGAAAGTGGTACGGCATTGACCTCCCTTGCATTGAGACATCCAATTGGTTCATTGCTTCATCGTGTGGATTAGTTTGCTTCATGGATAATGATAGCAGGAGTGAACTATATGTTTGCAACTTAATTACAAAACGCTGCAAGGTTCTTGATGGTCCTCCGGGTCCGAAAATCTCTGATTACAGTGCGTTGGCAATCTCAGTCGATAGGGTGTCGCACAATTACACCATCTCAGTCGTTAAATCTAAGCAAGTTCCAGGAAACTTCTTTCAGTGGGATCTCTCCATCCTTCTCTATGACTCGGAAACAATGACATGGGTGACCTCTTTGACAGAGGATTTAATGGGATGGAGAGCCGGTGACGAGAGTGTGATATGCAATGGGGTTCTGTACTTTCTTATTTACTCGACTGGGGGTGGTGGTTCTGAGAATCGCCATGGCCTTATCATGTATAACCTCGCAAGCCGATCGCCCCATGGTATATTGATGAGGAGTTTCGTCCCGGTGCCGTGTTCTCTTACTTGTGGCCGTCTGATGAACCTCAAAGAAAAGCTTATAATGGTTGGAGGAATTGGGAAACAGGATCGACCCGACATCATTAAGGGGATCGGGATTTGGAGTCTGAATGGAAGGGAGTGGCTAGAAATAGCACGAATGCCGCACAAATGTTTCCAGGGTTTTGGGGAGTTTGATGATGTCTTTGCCAGCAGCGGTACAGATGACCTCATATACATCCAGAGTTATGGAGCACCTGCTCTTCTTGTTTATGATGTTAACCAGAAGCAATGGAAGTGGTCGCAGAAATGCCCCGTGACAAAAAGGTTTCCTCTTCAGCTTTTTACTGGTTTTTGCTTTGAACCAAGGCTGGAAATATCTCCGTAGATCTCTTTTGCAATGAATATAATTTGTTCTTACTCACAAACTAGCAATTGATTTATAGCCTTTTTCCATGTCAATTTTTTGTTCATTATGGCGACTTTGATATCCTGGAAAGAGGTTTATAGAATATGCCGAAGCTGTGAGACTGTTCAAATATACAAGAAGACAGTTATTATTCTTTACTTCCGGAAATACAAATTGGTGAGTGGATACAAATTGATATATTCGTTTTAGATGTACTAATCGGCATTTTGGTGCTTTTGAAGATTTGATAGTTCTTGATTAGATGGTTATAGCACATCTCCGTCTTTATACTCTGTCTTAAAATCTTGTTTTTTCACCTGTTCCTTGTTGCATAATGAAACTCCTATGGGATATTCATATTTGTCATATACTTTGGGGAATCTATGCATTTGTCATTGATTTGATGGTTATAGCACATCTCCGTCTTCATACTCTTCCTGCCTTAAAATCTTGTTTTTTCACCTGTTCCTTGTTGCATAATGAAACTACTATGGGATATTCATATTTGTCATGTACTTTGGGGAATCTATGCATTTGTCATGCTTTGCTTAGTCAAGATAGCTACATCTGTTTTTCAGATGTCTCGTCCTGTCCTAGGAGAACATGGAATGTTATTCTTGTGTTCATTTTCTTTTTTGTAATGCCTGATCCAAATACTCTCTTTGAATCGAAGAAGGGTTTGTCTTGACATTGGAACACAGTTTTTTGGTCGACAGTGTCTCTTTGACATCCCCAGACGACATTGTTTCTGGATCTCTTTCCACGTTCCATCTCAAATATCAAGAATTTGTATAGGTGTTGGTTTTCTTTACTGAAGCAAAAGTCAATTTTGGAGATGGGATCCATAACGAGGATTCCATAAACAGTTATGTTACATTACATTTACGTAATCACACAACTTATTTTATGGTCATAGAACATCAAATTATAGGTCACATATTACTTTTATTGGTCACAAATTAATAAATTTGTAGGTCACAGTTTGTTATTTATTAGTACACACCAACCAATTTATTGATCACAGATTAATAAATT